TTTTTTTTGCTTCATCTGAATTCATGGTACTGCAATGTACACTATTGAGTAGGTCTATTTGCGTTTTTGGTTGTTTGGAAATGTGTCTCCTGTAAATGTGCCTTCTGAATACACAATGGAAATCAAGGACTTCAGTGTTTTATGTAAAGAAGACTAGTGTGTTCCCCCTGATCTGTAAGTGTTTGCATATGATGCAAGTATGTGTCATTTTGTCAACAGAGTTACATTTTGACAAAGGAATGTTAGGTTTTGATAGCAGAGTTTAGGTTTTGGGAGTGGAGTTTCATTTTGGCACAGATGTGTATGGTATATTTCCCAGTGTTGTGTCGTGTTTACTTGTGTTTAGAGTTTTGGCACAATGAGCGACGTTTTGCAAAATGTGTTCAAGCAACGGGCAAAAACTGTATTATTATAATAAAATCATTTGTGTTGACCCACTATGGACTTTCAGTCGTATGTCTCTTCCTCAAAAATTCGAACCATGACATTAGTTATACATTTGTACAATGAATGCATTATATTCTTCAGTAGTGGTGCAACGGATCAAAAATCTCATGGTTCGGATCGGATCACGGTTTTAAGTCATGGATCGAATCAATTTTCGGATCAGCAAAAATAGAAAAAAAGACAAAAATTCGACTCGTCATTTACTCATTTAAGTATTTTTTGCCTATTAAAAAGTTGCTTTCACACCTAACTGTGGTTTATGCATAGCTCTAACTCTTTAATATTATATTGAGACCCAACTTTCTTGCACAGTGTGTGTGTGTGTGTGTGTGTGTGTGTGTGTGTGTGTGTGTGTGTGTGTGTGTGTGTGTGTGTGTGTATAAAAATACAGCAATCATAGTTGACACTACAACATAAAAAAGACTAAAATAAGTAAAAGAAATGTATATGTTACATTCAATTAAAACATACACAGACCTTATTAACTTCACTATTCATTCCCAGAAAGACCTAATCAAATTTGTAGTCTAGTGTCATCTTTTCCCTTTTAGTTTTAAAGACCTCAGCTGCAGCTTGGAAATTGGAGGAGCATATATGTAATTATATACTCAGTAAAATGTTAGCAGATAATACAAAAGCCAGTTTACAGGCTTCATTTTAAAGCAAAAGGTTCAGCTGCTTATGAACGCAGACGGACATAAAATCCTGCTGCTGCAGTATGCTGTTAGTCATCATTTGTCACATGATGAACATCACATACTGATTTTATACCATCAATGACTTCCTGATACTGTTTTAGGCTATTATCATATCAAATAAAAAATATAGCGGCGATAATCAGTGGAGGTACGCTTTTCCTTAAGACTAACTCATATCTGTGTTTAGCCAATAATACATCTGAAATACCTTCAGGTTCAGGAGATGAATAGGGAGAGAAAGCAAGCTGCATCAGGTCCTTGCAGTCATGCTTTTGTCAAAGGAAGCTGCTGTGCCTGATTCTGATACCCCATTTTGGAACATTCATGTCAAAGTCACAGCCATGGTATCCCCACCTTAAAGATAATCAGCACGGTAGCAGACTAATGCCAAGGTTTTATCCTAAATATTCAGAATTATTTATCACTATGTGACAAACAACACAAAACAACAATTCTGTTTTCCACTCCAACAGGTCACGAGAAGAGTAAAAGCCCAAGAGAAGCCCCGACTTGATCTGTAGATATATTAGAGACGGAATAATTCTGGATTTTTGTTTGTTTGTTTTTGACTTCTTTAAAGTGATACATAGTGCATACTAACTGTATAAATTTTACTCCCCAAAGGAAGTAAAATGCACTGCACATATGGGATTGGTTTTATTGAAGTTCATCAAATCATCATTGTCTTAGATAGAAATGAGTTACGTCGTGATCATATCCAGAAATGGATCCTTAGAGCACTGCGGTAAAAATGTATATTGCTTACATTTAATAAGAGGTTGTTATAATAATGTGGTATGTAAGAGATCCCGTTACTGCTTTTATAAAGAGCAATGTAAAGAGAAAATATTTTAATACATGGTGGGGTTAAGGTTTTATATAGATTTATGGTTGGATTGGCAACTTTCCCTCTCAGTAAGTTTTGATTTCAATAAAAGTAAAAATAGAAAAAAAAAATCCATATACTTTTATTGTGAAGGTGCCTAGGTCATGTGTCCAAAAAAGGACCAATAAAAATGGAGAATGAGTTTAGTTTGCGGAAGCCGAGGAAGTAGCGTGTCGCCTTCGAAACGAGAGGACCAAATTTTTAAATAAGCCGATCCTCTGTAAAGTTTTATAAAGACTCTGGCCGCAAAGATTAATTTAAGTGTGCTCGGCACTGTTAAGGTCAGTGTTTCACGTGTTTAAATCCTCGCACGGCTCAACACATTCAGTTTTGTCGGTTATGTCAAAATCAGCGAAATGGAGCCCAAAAGAAGACGGGTCAAAACGTCTGCCCATCTATCAGCACAAAAGCAAACTAATTCAAGCTGTCAGAGACTGCAGCTTCCTGGTGGTCACCGGTGAGACTGGCAGCGGGAAAACCACACAACTCCCACAGTACCTGCGTGAAGCAGGTAAGCTGACTTTTATTGTCAAACACACAGACATACTCTAATTCTGCACGTAAAGTCACCATATACATGCAGTGTACCTGAACTGAACCGTCTGAATAGTGCGAAGTTGGTGTGGCGACCATTAAATGAAAACGATGGCCAACTTTTGTCTGTTTGTTTTTTTTCAGGTTTTTGTAAAGATGGCAAAATTGGCATCACTCAGCCGCGCAGGGTCGCTGCCATCACTGTGGCCCAGAGGGTAGCCCAGGAGATGCAGTGCACTCTGGGAAAGGAAGTTGGCTATCAGGTCCGCTTTGATGACTGCACGTCACAGGTAAAAAAAAATCTAATAATTAAAATACTACTACTACCTATAATAATAATAATAATAATAATAATAATTTATCCCCTGCAGAAAATACGTGTTTTCAGTATTTTTTTTTGACACACACTTGTTTGTGCCTGAGCCAGGACACGGTGGTGAAGTACATGACAGACGGCTGTTTGCTGAGGGAGGTGCTGGCAGACCCTGCACTCTCTCAGTACAGTGTTATAATCTTGGATGAAGTCCATGAACGCAGCCTTAACACAGTGAGTCACCCTCCTCACCCAGAGTAATTAACATCATGTTGTTAGGACACTGACACATAACAAAGCTTATCAACTCCCTTAAACCAAAACCTCCAGCCCTCAAACACAAACAAACAAATGAACAAAAAACTGAATTACAGCCTTTAAAAAAAACAAATTCTGTGACGTCATATCTGTGGTGGGCCAAGGTTTACATGCACCCATCATGGGTAGCTCCTGCTACAATCGTACTCAAATGTTTTGGTAGTTAGAGGAGCATGCACTGTGTAGTCTTTAAAACAACATAGAAACATTAGATTAGTTAGAACTCATCTTTCAAGATAGCAAATATACAAAATGATTTAAAAACAACATAGGAGATTGAAACACTGAATGGGGTAAACAACTGCACTAAAGTTATCCATTCAAACACTGCCACCTTTTGGTGAAAGTTTTTTTTTTTCTCCCCCTTTTAAGTTTGTTTCTCTGTGTGTTTTATTACAAGGACATTCTCTTGGGTTTAATAAAGAAAGTCTTCACTGACCCAGCCAAGGCCACCAAGGGCCGATCCTTCCCTCTGAAGGTGGTGGTGATGTCGGCCACTTTGGAAACAGACAAACTATCAGCTTTTCTTAGTAACTGCCCCGTCTTCGCTATTCCTGGGAGGACGTTTCCTGTAACCTGCACGTTTGGGTCGGCTGTTGGACCTAAAGATCTGGAAAGCACTGGTTATGTAAAAGAGGTACTCAGGGTCATCTGGAAATCAGGCACTGCTTTAGCCAATAATAATTATTAGTGATTAGGTAAGCTTAGATATGTTGTAGATTGATGTGTTTGGCTGGCGTTTATCAGATTTTACACCTTCTGCTCCACAGGTTGTGAAAGTGGCTCTGGACATTCACACTAGTGAAATGGCTGGGGATATACTGGTGTTTTTGACAGGCAAATAATGATTAGTCTTCATCAAATATCAAGACTGCAACATACTCATTAAAAATAATATTGATAGTCAGCCACATTATTTCCTTTTTTTTTTTTTGACAGGTCAGTCTGAGATTGAACACGCCTGTGACATGCTGTTCGAGAAAGCCGAGTGCATAGACTATCGCTATGATGTAACAGACCAATCAGTGGATGGCCTTCTCATTTTGCCCCTTTATGGATCCATGCCTACTGGTAAACACACACAGTTGTGTCAGATTGAAGCCAGTGTCAGCTTTGTGTGGTGTTACTGTGATGTCATCTTCTTTTCTTTCTTTTTTTTTTTTCTGTCTTAGATCAACAACGGCAGATCTTTCAGCCACCACCTCCAAGAATAAGAAAGTGTGTCGTGGCCACAAACATTGCTGCAACCTCTCTCACCATCAATGGCATAAAGTGAGTAAAGACTGTCGGTCCAGTGGTTTAACAGTCTCTCTCACACCTTTTGGCAAACACATCGTCATGCTATTCTTGTCCACATTTAGGTACATTGTGGACAGCGGCTTCGTGAAGCAGCTCAACCACAATTCGAGGGTGGGCATGGATATCTTGGAGGTTGTGCCTATTTCAAAGTGAGTTTCTGAAAAAATTAAGTCATTTTAGACCTGCGTACAGCTTTAACAGAGACTTGATGTATCTTTTTTGTAATCAGGAGTGAGGCGCAGCAGAGAGCGGGTCGAGCTGGAAGAACTTCAGCTGGGAAATGTTTCAGAATCTATACCAAGGAATTCTGGGAGAAGTGTATGCCTGAATACACAATTCCAGAGATCCAGAGGACGAGTCTGACCGCTGTGATACTCACGCTGAAGTGCCTGGGAATTCATGATGTCATCAGGTATATTTTTACCTCATTCTGTCTCAGTTTCTTATTCAGTGTAGTTTAACTAACTTTGCCTTCCCGTTGTCACCGATTTATTCATTAACAAGGTTGATTTGTTGTTAAGGTTTCCTTATCTGGACTGTCCAGAGGAAAGATTCATACTAGAAGCACTAAAGCAGCTCTACCAGTTTGATGCCATCGACAGGTGAGTACAGTGGATTTAAAAGTCTACACACCTCTATAAAAGTTACATTTTTTGCAATGTAAAATAATGACAGCAAGATAAATCACTTCCAAACTTTAATGTTAACTATAAGATGTGCCACCCAATTAAAAAACAAACATGAATGCGTAAGTGTGTACACTCTTTTATAATAAGTGATATGACTATGGTCAAAACACACCAATCACCAATCTGCCATCAGTTAAAGTTCAGCTGTTCTTGTAGGATTTTTCTTACATTTACTTTAGTTGCATCTTACAAGCTGGTCCACAAAGAGCCTACAAAGCATCATCGTTGGAAGGACAAAACTTTAGGTCATTAAATACACCACAAGACACAGCAAAGATTATCATCAACAAGTGGAGAAAATATTGTGCAAATGTTACTTCTGTAAATATCCACTCAATGAGCACTCAAAGTGCTTTCTACCACAAGTTTTATTCATCCAGTCACACGCACTCATACAGTGATTTTATGTATTACTTAAGTGCTTTATAACACTCACATACACTTTACGGATGCACTGAGGGCAACTGAGGGTTAGGCATCTTGCCCAAGGATACTTCGACATCAGGACTGGAGGAGTTGGAGCAATCCACCAACCATCTGATTGGTAGATAACCCACTCTACTGCCTGAGCCATAGTGACATTACTGTGAAAAGGACTACAGGAGCATTAAAGGAGCTGCCTGAACTTCTGGCAAGAACTGGTTGTGCACTACATGTGACAGCAGTCCCTGTGGTTAAGGATGGCAAGATGGAAGCCTTTTCTTATAGAGAAAAACATCTGATCCCAGCTAAATTTTGCATACATTGAACAAACGTGAAGTCTCCCAAAAGTGTGTTGGAAAATATGTTATAGTGTGATGTGGCCAAGGCTGAACGTTTTGGTCATAATTCCAAAAGGTTTGTTTGGCAGAAAAAACAGCATTGCACATCACCAAACCAGCACCATACCCATGGTGAACCATGGTGGTGGCAGGAACATGCTTTAGAGGCTGTTTTTCTTAAGCTGAGACTGGAATTTTAGTCAAGTGGGAGGAAATTACAAACAGTTCCAAATATCAGTCATTTTTGTCATAAAGTCTTCAGGTGTCTGCTAGAAAGATGAAGAGGAATTTCACCTTTCACCACAACAATCCAAAGTATACACCCAAATCATCAAAGTAATGGCTTCACCAGTAGACGATTGAAGTTTTAGAATGGCCCAGCACGAGCCCAGACCTAAATTCAATGGAAAATCTTTGAAGTGACCCGAAGAGGGCTGTGCACAGGATACGCTCTTGCAATCGGACAGCTTTGGAGCGCTTTTGCAAGGAAGAGTGGGCAAGTTACCAAGTTAACAATTGCTGTGCTGACTCCTACCCAAAAAGGACTCAATTTTGTATTAAAATCAAAAATGTCAACAAAGTGTTAGTGTTCATATTTATGCAACTAGATTATTGTACTTTAAAATTGATTTTATCTAAGTTTATATTGTTTATCAGTTGAATTATATGTGTTCTAGATCAGCAGTCCCCAACCTTTTTTGCGCCACGGACCGGTTTATGCCCAACAATATTTTTCACGGACCGGCCTTTAAGGTGTCGCGGATAAATACAACAAAATAAAACTAGTACCGGTACCAAAAAAAAGATTTATTCATAACACACGTGAAAAGACCCAGGAAAACCGAGTTAACGATAAAAATGATAACAAAATAACGCTGAAAACCGATAAAAAACCCTGAAAACCATACATTTCACACCTGAGCCTCAACTCTCGCGGCCCGGTACCAAACGACTCACGGACCAGTACCAGTCCGACGTCCGGGGTTTGGAGACCACTATTCTAGATCACAATAACCGTGGAAACGATTCTGAAATCATTTATCTTGGTCTTGTGATTTTTTACATCACAAAACCATGGCATTTTATCAAGGATGTGTAGACTTTTTAAATCCAGTGTATTGTTGTTTTTTCAGGGGCATGAAATTTACACAATGTCTTGTGTAAATTTCATGAGCTCTTATCCTCTTATCTCTTTGATGTTTGGGCTGTAGAAGAGGAAATGTGACAAAGCTTGGGGAGCTGATGGTGGAGTTCCCCCTACACCCAGGCCTCACCAGGGCCCTGCTCAAGGCTGCCTCCCTCGGCTGCCAAGACCTGTTGCTTGCTGTGGCGGCCATGCTGTCGGTGGAGAACATCTTCATCAGGCCAGGTCCGCAGTAAATTTTAATGTTGATAATTTAAAGGAAATGTCTTCTAACAGAGACAATAAGCTATACATACAGTCCATTTATTTACTGATATGCTGGTTTATTTGTGTATGTATTTCACATTCTACCAAATGGGGAAGGCAGGTGACATGGAATGAAATAAAGCTTTCGGCTCACAAAGTGTTGGCTGATCTCTTGTTCCCCTCAGGCCACCCTGATAAGCAGAAAGAGGCAGATAAGAAGCACCGAGCGCTGGCTGCAAAGACTGGCAGTATGAACGACTTTGCCACACTTCTCAGTGTCTTTCAGTCCTGCAAATCCAGGTGAAGAAAATAATCGATTAGTACTACAAGATGCATTTCTATTTTCCACTTCTTCCTCTAGAACTTCACATTGCATGACTTTATCTGTGAGCCGCTGTGTGAGCCTCTTATTTGCTCTATAGTGATCGACCTTCAGCGTGGTGTAAAGAGAACTGGATCCACTGGAGGGCGCTGAAGTCAGCCTTTAGTGTGGAGACTCAGCTACGAGACATCCTCCACCGACTCCAGCAGGTAAAGCTTTTTGACATCACTGCGACGCTCTGCTAATTTGTTCATATTGCTTCTCAGTTTGTGGATCTGCCTGCTTGCTTTCTAGAAAAAAGATTTCCCTGTAGAAACATTTGATGGCAACAAGAGTGAACTCTTTAGGCGATGCCTCTGCACAGGATACTTCACTAACGTTGCAAGAAGGTATCTGAAATGATGCTATACGGCCTCATTTGGGGATTCATTATATATAAAAGATTATAAATTCACGGTGGTTGTTGATGTATTGCTTTATCCCATCCCACATAGGTCTATTGGAAAGGTGTTTTGTACAATGGATGGCCATGGATCAATGGTTCACATTCATCCATCCTCATCTGTAAATGATTTTTAAAAATGTTTTTGCTTTAAATAATTCTCTGTATTCAAACTGCAACATAAACTTACTGAGTTTTTCTTGTGGCTTCAAGCTATTTGACCAGGAGGGAGAGCTGAACTGGGTCATCTTCCATGATGTGCTGGCGACATCACGGGTGTACATCCGGACTGTTTGTCCTATTCGATATGAGTGGGTGAAAGATTTATTACCCAAACTCCATGAAGTGGACGCCTATGAACTGAGCAGTGTGGCGAGAGAAGAAGTTACAGCCGAGGAAATGACAAAATGGGAGTCCAGGGAAGCCGCCAAAAGACAATCAGGTTGTTAAAAGTAGAATCTGAGGCAGAGCCTTCAGCTTTCAGGCCCCTCTTCTGTGAAACCAACTCCCAGTTTGGATTTGACTTCTCTCACTTCTTTTCACCATGTGTTATACACCACTCTAAATGTAATCATTCTGGTTCTGCAAGAGATTTATTCCTCTTAAAAGGGAGTTTTTTCTTTCCACTATGACCAAGTGCTTGCTTATAAGGGATCGTGGGATTTTCTCTGTATTTGTGTAGGGTCCTTACCTTACACTATAAAGCACTTTGAGGCAACTGTTGGTGTGATTTGGTACTATATTAAATTGAAGAGGATAAAACTGACTTGTCAGAATATGTATTTATGATGTATGTATTTATTTATTGTTATATAATATTGTGGTTCTTGGTCTGTACTCACATTACTGAGAGATACCATCAAAAATAGCTCAAAGAGGGTGAATTTAAAAGGGTTAACCTGTGCGGTGCTTTTCTGTTTGTTTGTTTTTTTTAATCTTCCAGAGGTTTCTGATGAGGATGCAATGAAGAAGCTGGAGAAGCGAAACGACGAAACCACAGTGAGCGAAGCTCGTGCTCGCTACCTGCAGCGAAAGCAGCAAAGGCAGCAGAGTAAACCTCTCTGATGTTTTTAAGGAAGTGATTCATACGCTATAATACAAAGGAGCAGTTTTAGAAGACATTTAAATAATAAAATATGTAGTGGTAATAAAATCGCCTCTGTCTTCTTTAATCCCTCCACTTTACATGCTACACTGCAGCTGTGACTCTGTTTGCTTTTAAAACTCCTAGCTGACTGACTTGAGATCCATTAACATTAATTTGGCTTGTTTCACACGACTGCCTCCCTGTCACTCAGTCCAGCTCTTTCAGGCTAAGGTTACAGCAAAGCACTTGATGTACTTTCACACTGACCGTTCAGGTGCAGTGGACCCCTCTCTGGTCTCGTACGTCACTTCCTTTTAGTGTGAGTCTGCGGGGCCGCTGTACTGTCTGGCTGGGACGGAGGGCTTCAGTGCTAACCTTATTAAACTCCAAAGAGGCGTTTTCTTTTCTCCTGGATTGTTCTTTTTAATTACTTGTCATCGCATTTACCTGCCCGGCACTTCGCACCTTAGTGGAATCTGTTCCCTGGTCTGTTCACACACGTTTCAACAGAGCACTGCAGCAGCGACTTGAGCAAGCACGCCGCCGCTACCGCTGTTGTTGTCAGAGAAGAAAACAAGCTCGGCGAGCAGTCCGCTAAGCTGTGTGATCATTGACAGAGTTCAATACACACACGCTTCCAGTGATATCTGAGGGTAGCTCTGCGATAGCGTAGCTCCGAGCCTTTTCAAAGAAGCGACGGCTGGGACTTCTTCGTTGTCACTCAAGCCGAGGTAAGAACAACCAGAGTAACGAGAAATACCGCAAACGGCTAACTAACATGCTAACTAGCTGCTAGCTTGAAGGATATTTTGGCTAGCTGCCTTGTTTGGTCGTAATGCGGTCACGGTCAGTGTCCTCGCTGCTACCTGACGCGCCACTTGGCCTAGCTGCACATCGGCTATAATGTTAGCTGGGAGTGTTGTAACTACTCTACTCATAAGCTAGAGAAGCTTTGAGCCCGCTTTGGACTTGGAGGAGTAGCATTTGTTGACTTTGTTTCAGTTAGCTAGCTACACCACTGGAGGATGTGGACGTGTTAACGTTACGGTAATGTTTACGTTTGGCAGATTGTGGTCGCGCTGAGTACGGTGCTTAGTTTTAAATTTGAATTAAATTATATTTTCCGACAGAGTAGCAGCATATGTGTCGGCTTGCCTCCGTTTCTTTAAGAGTTGCTGCATTTTAGGGCAAAAAACAACCTTAACGCTTGGCTGGTAGTGTTGGGAGGAGAGGTCACGTCTGTAAAAACAAAGGGGTGTAAGTTTACAAGGAAATGTCCTCCTTGTTTATTATCTCAGAGAGCAATTACCTATTATTCTGGCCAAGCTGTGATAACTAAGGATAGTCATAAAAAAAAGAAAGTCTGAAGTCGAGGGGAGCCTTATCTGTTTCATCTTTGTAAACAAGGCAGTTCAAACAGTCTTTGTGACTGTACGCACTGTAATATTCAACCCCTTCATTTTCACCGAAACGCTGCGAAATTCCGGTAAACCTATTATCTAACATAAGCTGTTGATTCAGGACTGACCCTGGATCACCAAGGCCTCTCCACAAACATTTAACAAGAGCCGTTGTTGCTTTTTGACATTACACAGCGTTTCAGCCATTTCACTGTTAGATGAGCGGCATTGATTTCCTGATCACTTTCACTTGGCTATTGCTCGAATACGAGGATCTACTACGTTTGGCTATAACGTGACAGTAAAAAAAAAAAACACCGGGGGGTGGTAAAGATTTGTCAGAGAGATTTGCATGAGATAATGATGACGGCACCTGGAGTGGTCATGATAAAGATTTGCAAATTGCAGCAGTTTTCTTTTGTTGTGGAGTTGCTTTTCAAAGTGGCAGAAGGTGGAGAGTTTACTCAGGCACATTGCTGCAATGACAGCAGTCAGATAGGCATCAAGAGCAACACTTTTTTTTTCTTTGTGCATGTGTGTCAGTTTCAGTTTGTCTTCACCGTTTTGCTTCCTTTAGGCATAGTGTCTTCTCGTATTCATTTTCGTTCCCCTGCACCTTAGTGAATATTAAAAACAATTACTTGAGGCTATGTGTTCCTATTCAAAGTGAGGAACCGAATTGTCCATTCAGGGAACGTTTTTAGTAGTTATCGACAACTAACATTACACTTTTCCGATAATCCTGTGCAGCTCTGCGTGTTTCTTATTTAAGTGAATGTAGATAACCTATTTAACTTGGCTTTTTAACTGGCTTTGTTGTATTTTACCTTTCATACTCTTCTTGGTTATTCTCAATTTAACTGGCGTGCTTGGTTCTTTCCTCCAGGTATTTCTTTCTTTTTTTGTTGTTGTTATCTGAGCCACAGTGAGGCACTTGACCAATAAGAACAGCTTGCACAATTTCCACCAACCTGTCTGCAGCCCCCTCCCTACCCAGACAGTCTTCTGCCCCAGCATGAATGAAGTCAGTGTTGTGAGAGAGGGATGGCTCCACAAGAGAGGTAAGGGGACCTTTGTGTTCAATATCCATCACCTGAGTCTGCATTAAATGACATAATTTTATATTTTAAGTATTAGCTACTTCTTGTGAGCTTGTCAGGGGTTCCTTTATTGACAGAGAACAGCTGTGACAGCCTTATTGGATTCCCAGTGTAATGATGTTCGAGTACATGTATAGGAAAGTCAGACATCACTGGCCTCTCTTTAAAAAAAAAAAATAAATAAATAATCTGTTTTTCAGGTGAATATATTAAAACATGGCGTCCTCGTTACTTCATCTTAAAGAGCAATGGCTCCTTCATTGGCTACAAAGAGAAGCCTGAGGTGTCCAGTGACCACAACCTCCCACCACTCAACAACTTCTCTGTCGCAGGTCAACTTTCCCTTCTGGCTGACAAACTTGAGTCAGTGCAATATCTAAACTCTGTTTTATTGTTTGTGCCTTCAGCTGAAGTGTCTGTGCTTTTGCAGAGTGCCAGCTGATGAAGACGGAGCGCCCCAAGCCCAACACGTTTGTCATTCGGTGTCTGCAGTGGACCTCCGTTATTGAGCGGACTTTCCATGTAGACAGCAATGAGGAGAGGTAAGACTTCCCACTCTCTGTGGGAAAAGTGTCGATCACAGTGGCTTTAGGCTGGTGCATCTTAAAATTCTGTTTACTTGTGAAAATGGCTTTTGTCTGTAATTTGTCTCTCCATACTACATAAATATCCTAAAAATGAACTTAAATATTGTTCAGAGATGACATAAACTCTGCTTGAGCTCAGTAAACCTTGTTTTCTTTATCATCATTTGCAGAGTGCTGTTTCACTAGAACCAGACTCCAGTTATTTATTTATTATTTATATCCAGTTATTATTTACTACTGGTGCCTACTGGTGGTGGTCAGAGGGCCCGGTGGCGCCAGTGTCCGGCAGCCTCGCCTCTGTCAGTGCGCCCCAGGGTGGCTGTGGCTACATTGTAGCTGCCATCACCAGTGTGTGAATGTGTGTGTGAATGGGTGGATGACAGGTTGTGTAAAGCGCTTTGGGGTCCTTAGGGACTAGAAAAGCGCTATACAAATACAGGCCATTTACCATTTACCATTTAATTGCTCTGAAGTGGATTTTGCCCTTTCTTTTGTTTCAGATACATAACAAGTTTAAATAAGTGAACTGATCATACATGTGCGGTCTTGGAGATTACAGATTTAAAACAACAGCAGAGTTTTATATAGCGTTGCCATGGTATCCAAATGTTGGCAATATGTTTTTTAATTTATATGATACAAAATCCTTTGTGTAACCAAGTTGATTTTAGTATGTAGTTTTGATCACATCTTAAAACAGCTTTAAAAGAATAAAAACGGAAAGACACAGAATGGACCAGAATTAATCCAGAGTCGATAAATGGGTCATTGTTAACCACACTCACTGAAAGCCATTTAGTTTCCAAGTATGAGCAGCCATCATAATCTAAAGAGAATTCAGGGCCAGATTAGGCCTGATTATTCACCTCTAACCCAAGCATTCGTCATTGGGCTTTGTTTACATCGTCTCTGCCAAGTAGCAAATCCCAGCAGCCCCTAGATGACTAGTACACGGATTATCCTCTACCTTCTAAACTTAGCATGCTAGACTACAGATTTTCCCACTGAGATTTATTTAAATTTTGACTACTTTGATGCGTGTGTGTTGCTCCAATCAGGGAGGAATGGATGCGATCGATCCAGGCGGTAGCAAACAGCCTGAAGAGTCAGCAGCAGGATGAGGAGCCCATGGAGATCAAATTTGGCTCCCCGAGTGACAGCAGTGGCATGGAGGACATGGAGATTGCTGTGTCCAAATCCCACACAAAAGTGGTCAGTATTTGCACAAGCAGTGCCTGGCAGCTGAGTGTATGCTGTGTTTGTCCAGCTAAGCTCATCTTTATTGAGCAAGTTGTTCAAACTTTAAGCCTCTTTCTCAAAGCTTTTTTTTCCCCCTTGGTTTTGATGAAGCAATCTTTAAAGGAGTTCAGAGTAACATTTCATTATATATTTTATCAATTGCTAAGTCACTTCAATTGATTTTGAAGATTGTTGAAAATAACAACCAGTGAGGTTGTTATTGAGTATTAAAAACATATAACATGTATAGCTGTTAATGTGTACTGATCAAATACAAGTTTGTTGTTCTGTAAAGAAGTCTTAATTTATGGGGTAAAAGTGTTCCTATCACATCTTATCCCAGTTGAAGTGTTCTGCTTTACTTTGTGTTTGTGCGATATAATTCAAATTGTGATCTGCCTCCTTGTCACCTCCCTTACATTCTGTACACCAGAGGCCTGCACAAGTCTTTGAAGTAATTCTTTGAAATGAATATCAGTCCATCTTGTTGCTTTTGTTTCTCATGCAATATGAAAAATTTGCAATATTTTGAACTACATCATGGCATAACATGTTGCCTGTCATTAACACGAGAAATCAACATGCTAGGATACATCAGCAGTGTCCAGTAGCTGTTACTTTACATTTTAGATAGAGGTAGTTCCGATGTATTTATACATAACAACACATCCTTCAGTCCAATCAGAGTTCGAAGATGAAACATTGGTGGCATCTTTGAGAGTTGAGTTTCGTTCAAGAGCACTCGTAGACCCATTAATTTGTCTCGGCTGATCTTTGACCTCTGTTTTCTTAGACTATGAGTGACTTTGACTACCTGAAGCTTCTGGGCAAAGGGACATTTGGTAAAGTGATCCTGGTGAAGGAGAAGGCCACAGGGATGTACTATGCCATGAAAATCCTGCGCAAAGAAGTTATCATTGCTAAAGTGAGTCCTGTCACATCAATATGTGTAGTAGCAGAATTCTGAGCAGTTAGTTAGGTGTTGTTTACACTCCAAGTACTGAATGTGTGTTTATATTTAGGATGAGGTGGCACACACAGTTACAGAAAGCCGAGTTCTCCAAAACACACGGCATCCTTTTCTAACGGTGGGTAACGGTGCATCTATTGTTGTTTCAGTTTCTGCTTTCCTACAATGACTGGACTTTCATCAGTATAAAACAGTCAGTAATTCATCTTCCCTCTTTTACAGACACTAAAATATGCATTTCAAACACACGACCGGCTATGCTTTGTGATGGAGTATGCAAATGGAGGAGAAGTAAGTCTTCCTCTTTCTCTTACTGTTGTGTCATTTCTTTGCGTGACCTTTTGGAAAATGGCTAGTTGCAGAAGGGCAAAAACATAGAGGACACTGCAGTATTGGGTCACATTAATGAATAAAAAAAGAATAGGTTTGATTTGAGAAATGTATTCCAATGTGCTTTTTTCTTTTCAGGAAATCCAATGTCTTGAGAGGATTTACGAATATTGTTTTGAGCTCTTTCCTGTTTTTAATTCTCTTGCAGCTCTTCTTTCACTTATCCCGGGACAGAGTATTCACAGAAGACAGGGCTCGATTCTATGGTGCAGAAATAGTGTCAGCACTGGAGTACCTTCATTCACGCAATGTAGTTTACAGGGACCTGAAGGTAGGAGGATTTCTGGCTTTGACTGTATAACAGTAATGTATACATATATTAAGGAGGGATGGGAGGGATATATAGGGATTAGCTAGTAAGGGAGTAATGACTTGATAGCATCATTACTCCATGCAGCATCTCTGATGCAACACATCAAAACATCCAAGTTTTGCAGTCACACTGCAACAGGACAACAAATAAACACTTTTAATATGTACAATAAGTATGCGATTTTAAATTATTTTCCCAGCATGGCTGTGGGCTGATTTGACTCTAATTTGAATTTCTCCCCGCACAGCTGGAGAACCTCATGTTAGACAAGGACGGCCACATAAAGATAACAGACTTCGGCTTGTGTAAAGAAGGGATCACAGACGGCGCCACCATGAAAACCTTCTGTGGAACCCCGGAGTACTTGGCACCAGAGGTAATTCAGTGGTTGCTTTTATTGTCATGAGGGTGGTTTGTGGACAGTATGATGTAAAAAGGCACCAGTGACACAGAGCTGGATGAGACAAGTGGGATAGATGATAAACAATATTACCTTGATAAAAGGACCAGTCACAGTATTCAAAGTGGCCATTTTATCAGAGGATGTCTGTTGCCACCTTGTTCCCAATTTTCTTTTGTTATGGAAAAAATGTTTACTGATATTCCTGCACCGCTATTTTCATTGTTTGGTTTCTTTCTCAACACTTTTCATTTCTACCCTGTCAGGTGCTGGAGGACAACGATTATGGTCGAGCAGTGGACTGGTGGGGATTGGGTGTAGTGATGTATGAGATGATGTGTGGCCGATTGCCTTTTTACAACCAGGACCATGAGCGCCTCTTTGAGCTTATCCTAATGGAGGAGATCCGCTTCCCCAAGAACCTGGCTCCTGAGGCCAAGGCCCTGCTGGCAGGCCTGCTTAAAAAAGATCCCAAACAGAGGCAAGTTGTCCCATCACAATAAGCACTACTTTATGAATATTATGAAGAATAATTAGAGAGAGAATTAAATGGCTAAGTTGAACCTTAAAGATTTTTACAGCCACTTAACCAAAAATAAACCGCCTAAAATATGTTTTTGATTAAAGCTTAAAATTCTTGAATACATGAATATTTATTCATTGTTTTGAACTTTATCTGCAGCATAATGGATACATGGCAGCAGTTCAGCTGCACTTGTTGCACTCTGTTAGTTTTCTGAATCTTCCACTGTGCTCAGGGGCACCATGTATTCAGCTATAAAAGGAGTAACCATGTTATTTAAGCCCATGTTCTTTCTTGATTTGTTTTGGCTCAGGATAATGGCCATAAACAGGAATGTAATTAGTTGTTGTTTTGACCAAGCACTGCGTTTCTGGTAATAGTTGGAGAACTGCTAATATTAGCACATTAAGGACTGCCTGCAGGCTTACTAACACATTGCATATGGTAAGGAAATGAAAAATAAATTTGTCTACAAATTGGTAAATATAAGTCAGTGGAGACCAACACAACAAGTGCTTGTTGTGCCCATCTAATGACTGTGTTTTGTACATTTATTTGTAGCTGGTGAGTGTGTGGGTGGTGGTGACGATGATGGTGTTTTTGTTGTGTTTACAGGCTCGGAGGTGGTCCAGACGATGCCAAAGAAGTGATGAGCCACAAGTTCTTCACCTCCATTAACTGGCAGGATGTCATTGACAAAAAGGTGAGATGAAAACAAACGATGGGGGAAACTGGATGACCGGCATGCGAACTGACTGATTTCCTTCCTCTCCTCAGCTTATTCCACCCTTCAAGCCACACGTAACGTCTGAGACGGACACGCGCTACTTTGACGACGAGTTCACAGCACAATCTATTACAATAACTCCTCCAGACAAGTGTAAGTGCACTTAAGTGGCTGCTTTTCTTTGTGCTTGGATTTATTTTTCTAAGCAGCTCTAAGTTGTTGTTTTTTTTTTAACGTCTAGTTTCATCTTTGTATCATCTTCTTCTCTCCCCTCCAGATGACAGTTTAGACGTAGAGGATTCAGATCAGCGTACTCACTTCCCTCAGTTCTCCTACTCTGCCAGCATACGGGAATGATCCCTCAGACTTTTGAATGAGCAGGCAGGCTGACACACGATCACAATCCCACATACACACTTGCACTGCTGAGGAAATTTGAACGACACCAACAATTTAAAAAAAAAATAAATAAAGGAAAAAGAAAGTGGCACAAGACACATTTTCATTCTGTTTTTAACGCACACATACTGGCAAATCAGACAAGACACAGATCATAGTAGTAGGGAATGAACACACACAGACACTGAATGACTGACCTCAGCAGGTTGGTGTGGATAGACTGGCAGCTTTGTCTCTGTAAGTCCTCTCAGGGCTTGCGTTAGGCTTCCCTGCGGGACCTCTGCTGCAACACATCAGAGCCTTGACACTTTGAAAACCAGGTTATGCCAGCAAGTAACACCTCTTTACCAGCTGTTCCATGCTTCACACACACAAATAAACACACACCAAAATCTACCAACTCATGCACAGACTGCATAAATGTACTTGATAGAGTTTTACAAAACCAGTATAATCAAGATTGGGAAAATCACAGCAATTTGATGATGGGGGAGACAAAGTTTGATTTCATCACTTGTTACGGTTTTAAATGTAAAGCCATATTTCTGCATTTATTTTTTTTTTACATTTTTTTTTTAACAAGTGCTCTTTCTGGAACTTGCTGTTACAAATCAAGAGTGGGATTTTTCCCTACAGTTGGGTTAAAGGGGGGCAATAAGGAAGAGGAGAAGGGTAAGGAGGGGTTGCCATTACTGTTTGCACTGCTTGTGTGTGTGCGTGTGTGTATGCAAATGGTCGAGCAGATGTGTATGTGCATATAGGGTGCAAGAGAATGTATGAACAACCATTTTGAGTCTCAGCCATCCATTCGTGTCTGTTTTTATGCACGATGTTTTGGGTTTTTTTTTTTTAACTCTGAACTTTTGCTGGAATATGGACAAGAGAGGACGCCACCGAGCACACTAAACACGCTGGGTGTTTTGTTTTTGTTTGTTTTTTCTTAAGGGAACAGGCATGTCATTTATGATTGGCTGGCTTACTGCTAAGTTGAATCAGTCTGGATTATAAACTGGGATCGTGTGTATGGCTCACATTTGCTTTAAAATACTGCATTAAATTTATCTTGATGCAGCAGACAAGCTCTTAGCATCCAAAGTGTGCGACTAACTTGTAGCCAGTTGAAAGTCTAAGCAAGTTTTCCTTCAGGCTAGCCGAACTTCCATGTTGAAGCAGTAGGAATAGAAAGAAATCCCCCCCCCCACCTGTCTACAGAGACCAATCTAGAGGAGAACAGACATCTACTGCTCTCACTGGAGAATTTGGCACCAGTCGTTTATTTTCAATCTGTATTACCAATTTTTTTTTTTTGTGTGTGTGTGTGTGCTGTTTTGTTTTTTTTAATTTAGCCCGTGGGTGTCTCCCCTGTATTTAGAGAATGAGCGTTCAATCATTGGTAAGAGGCCAAAATTTGACTGAGTTGTTAAACACTTCACATGATTCCACCTTTGATGTTTAGTCTTTGTGTTTTTAGGGTTTTTTTTTTTTTTTTTGGTTTTTTTTCTTAAATTCTGTGTTGAAGCACTTAAATCTGTGTAGCTGTACATCTGGAGCAACAGTCTGCAGGTTTACAATCAGACTAAAAGCTGCGTGAGCTGTTTGACCGACCTTCAGCCTGCGAAAGAGGAGGAACTGATGGAAACGCGAGCGCTGATGTTGAAATAATAAAAGCCCTGAACATGATATTGAAAGAGTACTCAAATTGATGAACGTGTATTCCATAATGCTGGAAGAGGATGCTGGTTGCTCTTTGAACTTAACTAAAGGAACATCAAAACTTTTTTTTTTTTTTTTTTTGTATGTCATCATTTTTTGTTTGGTTTTTTTTCCATTCCCCCCCCCCCATCTATTTCTCAAACCTTTGAAGACACATTGTCTTGTTTGAGTATACGTTATATAAGATATATATTAAACTTTTTTTAAACCACTTTCTTTTAAGTTCTTCATTTCAAGGGGATTCCACGTGAGGATTGCTTATGTAGCAATTTGACTTGCATTGTCACATCAGACACATCAAAAATGAATTTAATGGTTTTATTAATAATAATAATAATAATAATAAGCTGATATTGGAATAGCTTTGAAGGGAGGGAAAAATGGAAGTTTGTCACTTTTTACTTAAAGAGACATTTGCCCCAAAATGGGTTAATTGTGAGCAAGCCAAGAGCAGCACTTGACTGAACTTACTGTGTATATAAATATTTTCTGCAACAAATCAGCATTCTCTGGGACATCCCTCGTGTCATGTCACATCTTTATTTCTTCAATTTTAAGTTTGTGTGAATGTTGTGGTGTGACAGAGTGTGCCTGTGAGTGAAAGTGGTGAAATAGACACGAGAATCTAAAGGCCCCTGCTCCTCAAATGATGATGATTATGTGGTGATCAAATGGCTTTGATTTACAGTTCACAACTCCAGCACCTCTTCTCACTGGCTCAGGCACAGCCATCATACTCTAGCCTAGCGTCCTGCGTTTTGGAAACAGCAGGATCAGATATCAGAACCATTGCACTGATGGACTCCACTGTGGACTTGCCTTCATTGCTATCACGGCCATAAGGGGGTGCTGCTGGACTTCTTTTGATATTGGTTGTGAAGCCATACACTGAACCTCGCTGCTGGCCACGCTTTAAGCAATGCTTCAATGCTAAACATGCAAGTTAATACCCCTGACCTCTCCTGTAGGCGTACACGGGCACAACAAGTGCCTCTTTATTATTTTGTAAATACCAAAAAAAAAAAAAAAAAAAGAAGCAGCTAGATGGGGAATGCAGCATTAGTAGAAGGGGAGGCCTGCAGCTTCGTAGTGTTTGATTTGCAGCTTTACTATGGTTATCTTGCTTCTTTGTATATTTGAATGTGATCAGCAGTCAGGAATGTCACACCTGATGCCGGTATAAAAGATTTTTTTCCTCCCCTTTTTTTTTTAATATAGATTTTTTTTTTTTGCTTGTTGCTGTTAGTTAAGGCTCAGAGGGCAATGAAAAAAAGCAATCTCTAAGGGGAGGACTTTGTCCTGAAAGGCATTTCCAGCCCCCTTTTGCAAGACTTTACAATGTAACGGGTGATACCTGCTACAGTATGGTAGCTTATAACATTTGCAACTATAATGTGCCAGTAAACATTTTTACTGAAGAAATCTGTGTGTGTTTTTCTTTCATGAACTTGGTCAGTGTAAGCTACATATACATGCACTCCTTTTCCTGGATAAGGTTGTCAACTAAAGGGACTGTACGTTTAGATTAATGTTACACAATGAGTGTTAGAATTTAAATATAGATGCATATTAGGCCAGAAATAAATTCAACCCAGACCTAGTTGAAGCCATGAGATGCTTTGAAATACCATTTGTGCAATTATTTGAGAAAGGGCATTTCCTACAAGCCAATTCTAGCAACTCAATTATTACATCATTTTGTAATTCGACGATTGCACTATGATAGCTTTGTTTGTATTATAAAACTAGTGAAGGAACATGGCCTCGCGTTGACCTTCGTGGGGTTGCATAAAATGCCCCAATTATGAGAGTATAATATAACCGTTAGCATTGTTCGATCTCACTAAAACGTAAGTCGCGGTGGACAAAACATTTCATTTAAGACTTAAAGTTTATCTTTTTCCTTGAACTACGCAGATGAATTTTATGAGCTTTTAAGGACCCATGAATGTCTCACGGTTTGACGTTTTCGCTACAATATGCATTTTTGCGCAATCTCCATTTGTTTATTTAGCCATCTATCTGGCTATCCACCGGAAGTTCTAACCTGTCCATCACACCATTGACCCCGCCCCAATCAGTGGGCTCACCTGTCTTTATTAATGGCTGTTCTGGCTGCACGACTCTGCTCCAGGCCTCCGTCGACACCCGTGGATAAGTAGCTGCAGCGGCCGTGCATGAGACCTCTGTCTTCGGCTGTGACCATGGCCAGGACTGGGTTCTGCGACACCAAGCCTCTGCTGGACTTACACAAGAAGGTTTGCTCGGTGTGCTCCAGGGACCCAGTCTTAAACATATGTGATATACTTCTAAAATCAACTGTTAGAATGAAGCATGGAAATTTCTTCAGTTTCCATGCTTCATTTCTTTTCTGCCTTAAACCTTGGTGTGCTTGCTCAAATGCGGTGAGAATTTGGGCAAGCTGGTGGAGAAGTGAATGAGGAAAAGTAACCTTTACCTCATTAATCACATTCCTTTGTTATTGCACCCCGTTATCATCTCACAGCAACATAATTAGATGAGTCTGAAACTTTTTTTTTTTTACTGCACTGCAGTCACCTTTCTCAAAGTCTACAAGTTTCTGTTATTAGACTGATTGTGTTCACCTGCCATGAGTCCATGTGGCTGTAACAGGACCTTGATGTGAGGCACGCTTTTTGAACAAATCATTGCAGAGATATACTGTCAGCAGATTGTCTCACAAACTGTACTGGGGGGAGAAATGCATAGCCATTCAATTTTAATGTCAGAATCAGAAAGTGTCAGTCAGTTACCATCTGTGATCCCTCCAGGCGGATGAAAGGCGAGCCCCACTAAGAACCTGGGCTAATGCCTCTGGGCCTATAGATCGCTGGCTGCCTGTAGAAGCAAACGAGTCCAGGATGAACTTGCTTAAAATGGAACCAGAACGCAGATGGGTATGCTTTTTGTCTCCCAACACTAACATGACTTCATGTACTTAAAGTGACTTAATGTATTCTTTTGCCAGCTAAGTGTAGAATGGTTGCAGGAATTCTGTGTGGATGTAAAGTTCCTCTCCTTTGGAGAAAAAAGTCTGGGTTAGAATTGGTGCTTTTATTTTTCCTTGCCATGATCATAAGAGTTGCAAATTGAGCATCATTTTGCAATGATCAAATGTATTCTCTGCAGGAAAGGAGGGTGTCCTTGCAAACCAGTGATGGCATCATCATGGGGTTTCATGAGGACAGTAGGGCATGGTCACCTGGTAAATTAATTGGTATGTTTTGTTTTGAAAGATCAGAGCCATAAAACCACGTGGTGCCAACATATAGGATGAATGGTTAATAAAATTGAATTGTCAGTGTTCATAAGAGGGAATATCGTTTTAAATCTGCTCAACGTTTATAAACTTGTGCTTCTCT